TTCTATCGGAAATGCTATTTCTGTTTAAGAAACGGCGAATGGGTCTGGCGCTGCATGCCAAGTATGGTGGTCACTTCTCATTCCGTGGCGTTATCATTTTCCCCGATACACATCTTCCGCCGGATTTCAAAGAAGCGAAAGCAGAGAAGACGTTGAAAAGCGAGGAAGAAATTGCCAACGCTGTGGAGCTGATAAACGTTCACTGGAGGGACAATCGTTACAGGGACTGCGGAAATCCGATCGCCAGATATTCCGATTTACAGCTTGAGTACTTTAACACTTTACCTCGTCATCGTTGGAAACTTCTCGCTAAGTGGTTTCAAGACTAAAGTCCAGCCCCTTTCCCTCTTTTTAGTAAAGTACAGCTGATCATATGTCAAGGAGTCGTACGTAAGCGTGATTGTCTGTTGTATTTTTGTCGACACTAGCCGGCACCTTTGTCTGTTGTAATATTCAGCTGTGTCATCGTGGAATTGATGTGCATCCGAGTAGCAGTTTCTTTATTTCGAATTTTCCAGCGAAATTACCCCGATGTCGAGAAGATATAACTTCTCGAGAAGTATGATCAGTGTAGTTCAGATCAAATTCAAAAATGTGTGTTTTATGTATGTGTAAGGTGCAAGTGCATGTGCACTTTCATCTTTGTGTTCATATGGCGCCAGGAATATGAGTCAGCTGGGATTGGCTGCTCACATTCCTCAGTGGGCCTAGGATTTCCGCCATGTCGCGTTGAGCGATGTTTACGAAATAGTTTTAGATTTCGGTGATTTATGTCCATGTTTTGATTCTCAGCGATTAATCATTACTCGTTTTGTCGCGAATCTACGCATGTGTGTAATGTTTTCTTAAGTTTGGACATGTGATGTTTTTGTCAAACATGAAAAACATGTTGACAAAACAGATCGAGGAGCGGCTACAGGGAGAGTTGGGAGCTAGGGTTGAAACAAGGTGGCAGTTTCGGCAGGCCGTGGCGGCTTGGTGAAAGATTTGGAGCTTGGTGCTGGTATTTTCCGCCGCTGCATACTGGTATTTTCGCCGCTACACGACGATACTTCTTTTTGATTTGGCACGTGGAACATTCTTCTGCTTATACCTGAGGTACGAATAAATAGTTGATTTTTTGGAAATTTCCGCCTCACCCTTCTCAGGTAAAGCTGGCATATTTGTCAGCTAACGAAGAGAAACGAAGAAAGAGTAACAAGCGATTGAGATGCTCCAGGACATCTATACTATATTAGGATTGCTAAGAGCCCGGACGAATAAGACAGAAGAAGAATTGTTTCAACCACTGAACCACCGAATTCTCTCTGAATCTCTGAATCGAGGTTTGATTCCGCCAAAATTTTCTTCCGCAACACGCCGTGGGACTCTTGCCCGCTGGGGTAGGACTTCCGGGTGGCACGGATGGGCTGGCGATCGTCCGAAGCTCTTCGGCCGGTCTCATTCTGTGCGGAGCAACGACGACGGGCGGCGGCGAGGAGCATCAACGACGATCAACAACGGCCGGCAATGACACAGGACTTCGACAACGATCAGTTCACCCCCACCCCAACTTATGTTTTGTAATTTGATGTTGC